TTTTTATATTAACTTTGGTCCGCATTTTTATAATTGTTATTTGCTTTTCTCCTATTATTTTTTTATTGAAATTTTTTTCTATTAAATTTGGTCCTTATTTTTTTTATTGTTATTTATTTTATTTGAAATACTTTATGAAATGTTAATTATTATTATTTTAATTTCTTCATCTTTTTTTTTTAGATTTGATCTTTATTATTTTAATTATTATTTATTTTATTTGAAATAATTTATGAAATAATTTTTTTTTTCGATTTCATTATTATTCAACTTTTTAATTTGTAAGATTTATTCTTTATTATTTTAATAAACTTGAGAAAAATAAAATATTAATAAATTACTTTCCAATTTATTTTCCATAACATAACCAAACACCGGAAAGTATTTTCCAGTTCATTTTCCATAACACTACCAAACATCGGAAAATACTTTACTTTTCAGGAATTCATTTTTCTCGGAATTCACTTTCCCCGGAATTTGCTTTTCAAAAGGAAACAATTTTCCTGCAAACAAATGGAGTTTAAGTTTTTTTTTTTTTTTTTTTTTTTAATTTAGTCTAGACACAATCTGGTAGAGCTTATTTTTAAAATTGTGATATAGAGTTTGTTTGAAAGTGTGGTTTCAATTAGTTTTTAAAATATTTTTTTATATTGATATGTATTAAAATAATTTTTTAATTTTTTTTGTTGAAATTAACAAAACAATTTAAAACATAAAAAATTAATTTTTTTTAAATTAAAATTTTAAAAATATAAATGAGCTCACGTTTCAAACAATGTATTGGTCTCTCGATTCTCCCATTTTTTAGTCTCTCGTTTCCCTCATTTTCCCAATGCTGTCGGAAGTCGGAAACTATTAATTTGACAAACGCGCCTCACTAACCAACCTCTCCAGATTAATGGTTTGATGAACCAGTTGGTACAGTGGCCTCTTCAGTCAACCTTTTTCAGTCCATGACATTTTCGCTCGTTTTCTTAATCATTCTCTCCTTCCATAAGGAAACGCGATTTTGGAGGTTTTCCTTGAGAAGACTGTCTTCTACACAAACCCTAGCTACGTTGGGGCGTGAAACAGGCTTCGTAGGACCAGTCAGGCCAATTCTGAAGGTCTGAGATGTTAGGCCTCAAAAAAAGAAAAGACAATAGGCAGATGGGGTCGCGATACCCGTGCATGCATGGGATAGCCATGGCAGAGACGGAAATCTCTCTAACAAGCTTCACCACTTGTTCCCTCTTTGCATTATTATCCATCTCAATGCCAACTCCCCATTCATTGCAAATATATCTAGTACAGTTCATCTGGTGATCTGCAAAGAAGGGCCAACAAATCATAGGAACTCCCGCAGCCAATCTCTCTAAAGTCGAATTCCAGCGACTACAATTTTGAGTTTCCTGTCCATAGATTACAGACAATAGATTTTGATTGATTGAAGAGTAACTAGCAAGGGCCAATAGCATAAACTCGATAAAATATAGAAGAAAGGCCATCCGAAACATATGGCTATAACGTATCGAGTGTATGAACAATAATTGCACTAGCCTTAATAGCATTCTCAACACCTTCCATGGAGAAGTTTAGTCCAAATTCATCAGGATCTCTTCTTCGAGAAAATGTACATTCCTAGAGACAAGCTTCTCAACCTTTTCCCTTTTGACATTATTATCAATCTCCGTTCCGACACCCCATTCTGTGCAGGTATATCTGCAATTCATTTGTTGGTCTGCAAAGAATGGCTAACACATCATTGGAAGTTCTGCAGACAAGCTCTCAATAGTTGGACCCCAACCGCAATGAAGCTAGAAACCCTCCAACTGATGAATGGTTGTGTACTTCTTCCTGTGGACACCAGCTTGCAATAAGGCCACGTTTCTGAATTTCTGCTGCAAACTCAGGTGGCAAAATCTTCGAATTGCCAATTACAAGATCTGGCCTTGTAATCCACAATACGGGGATCTTGGTCACATTGCGAACTTGAATAGTTGTTCTGCTGTCATCGCGGTCATGCTTCCGGAACTCACATAGATCACTGAGTTTGGTTCTGTGCGTTGGAGACATTTGTTGGAACCAATTTTTGATGTTTTTATTTAAAATATTTATCCTGTGTATATTAAAAATATATTTATTTTTTAAGTCATCTAAATTATTCTAAACTAGTATAAATATATATTTGAAGTGTTGTAAGTTCAAGTTCAAGTCCATTAAGACTTCTTCTCTCAAGAAAATGATATATTTATATAAATGAGATTTAATTTTCACTATGTTTCTCATGTTTTCTATTTTTACTTTTTCCCTTCAAATATTTCTAACAAAATATCAGAA